TAAATAATGTGTTGTACGTCCCAAAATTGTTCTCCAATCTCATATCCATCCATCAAATTACCAAAGATCTTCTATTCTACTCACTGTGTTTTTCAGGATTTAGTTACGGGGAGGACGATTGGACTTGCTAAGGTGAATGATGGGCTTTATTACCTTGAGGAAATGAGTGGCAACAAGAAGAACAATAATCAGTTATCCCTCACCTGCTCCTCAAATAATAAATCTGAAATTTGGGTTCATCATTTCCGTCTTGGTCATCCATCTTTTATTTTACTTAAAAATATGTTTCCTTCACTTTTTAAGAATAAAGATGTTATTAGTTTTCATTGTGATACATATGAAATTGCTAATCATCATAGATTATCATTTTCATTGAGTAATACAAGATCTACTAGACCTTTCTCTTTGATACATACTGATATTTGGGGGCCTTGTAGAGTTTCTAGTATTTCTGGAGCAAAATGGTTTGTCACATTCATTGATGATTGTACTAGAATTGCTTGGTTATTTCTTATGAAAGAAGAATCAGAAGTAAGCAGTATTTTTCCAATGTTTCATAAAATAATTTGTACACAATTTGGAAGTTTGATTAAAAGAGTAAGATTTGACAATCCAACAGACTATTTTAATCAAATTCTCTCATCTTTTTTTCAAAAAAAGGGTATAATACATGAGTCATCCTGTATAGACACACCCCAACAAAATGGGATTGCAGAACGGAAAAATAGACATTTACTCAATGTGACTCGCGCAATTTTGTTTCAACATAAAATTCCAAAAACCTTTTGTGGGGATGCTATTTTAACTGCTGCACATTTGAAAAATAGAGTACCTTTCAAAGTGCTAAATTATCAGAGTCCCATTGCTGCTCTTTCCATTTTTTACCCTGATTTTAATGTCTCTTGCACATTGTCACCAAAAGTGTTTGGTTGTGTTGCTTTTGTACATGTTCATGCACACCAAAGAGGAAAACTTGATCCAAGAGCTTTAAAATGTATTTTTGTGGGATACTCAAACACAAAGAAAGGATACAAGTGTTATCATCCACCTTCAAAAAAATTTTACCTCTATGGATGTCACATTTGTTGAAAATGAATCTTACTCTCAAAGTAACAATCCTCATCTCCAGGGGGAGAGTTCTTGGAAAGATAAGAAATTTTTCCTTAATTTTCAAAGTCCTACACTAAACTTGAAATCTTTCAAACCTGACCCTACACCAAGTTCCAAAGGAGAACATGTTAGCAGTGAATCTGAACCTGAATTTGAAGTTGAACATGCCAGTAAAGAAATTGAACCTGATCTTGGAGCTGAGAGAAAAACTGGTTTAAATCCAACTACACCACTCAAGGTCTACTCAAGGAAAAAAGTTCAAATTTCTGAACTTGTGCAAATCCAAGAATCTGAACCACAATCAGGTATTGAAAATTCTGTTCCTTTGTGTGTTCAATCTGATTCTGTTCAATTGCTGTTCAAAAAGGAACACGAGAACGCACTAAGCATCCAATCTCAAATTTCGTGTCTTTCCATAGACTCTCTCCACAACATAAAACTTTTCTTACTACCATCAACTCCATTTCAATCCCACAAACACTACAAGAGACACTTAGAAAATAGAACTGGTTACAAGTTATGAAAGAGGTGATGAATGTCCTAGAGAGAAATAAGATTTGAAAAATTGTAAATCTGCCTAAAGGAAAGAAAACAATGGGGTGTAAATGGGTGTTTACTTTGAAATATAGAGCTAATGGTTCATTAGAAAGGCATAAAGCTCGGTTGGTTGCAAAAGAATATACACAGGTATATGGGATAGATTACCAAGAGACCTTTGCACCCGTTGCAAAAATGAATACTGTGCATGTTCTTTTGTCTTTAACCACTAACTTTGGTTGGTGTTTATAGCAATTTGATGTTAAGAATGCGTTCTTACATGGGGATTTAGAAGAAGAGGTGTACATGGAACCTCCACCGGGTTTCAATGAAATGTTTTTGGAAAAGAAAGTGTGCAGGTTAAAGAAAGCTTTATATGGATTAAAACAATCGCCAAGGGTTTGGTTCGGAAGATTTACTAAAGTGATGCTAGTAATGCAATACAAACAAAGTCAAGAAGATCATACCTTGTTCATAAAACATTCAAAAGGAGATGTTACAGCTCTACTTGTATATGTAGATGACATCATCATCATCGGAAATGATCCAATCGAAAGAGAAACACTCAAAAAGTACTTAGCAAAGGAGTTTGAAATTAAAGAACTAGGAAGGCTGAAGTATTTTTTAGGCATTGAGGTGGCATACTCAAGTAAAGGCATCTTTGTTTCCCAACAAAAGTATGTCTTAGACTTGCTTAAAGAAACAGGCAATTTTGGATGCAAGGCAGCAAACACACCCATTGAGCCTAACTTGATATTGAATGAAGAGAAGGATGATAGCATAGTAGATAAGGAAAGATATCAGCCATTGGTTGGGAAACTGATATACTTGTCCCATACAAGGCCGAACATAGCATTTGCCGTAAGTGTAGTAAGCCAATTTATGCATGATCCAAGAGAGAAACACTTGCAGGCTGTCAACAGAATTCTATCCTACCTCAAAGGGACACCGAGTAGAGGAATTTTGTTCAAGAAAAATGAAGGATTGCTCATAGAGGCATATACTGATGTTGATTATGCAGGTTCTGTTGTAGATCGTAGATCAACTTTAGGATATTGTACATTTCTTGATGGGAACCTAGTGACATGGAGGAGTAAGAAGCAATCGGTTGTTGCAAGATCAAATGCTGAAACAGAGTTTAGAGCTATGGCTCATGGAGTTTGTGAATTGCTATGACTCAAAATAATACTTGATGACCTTAAAATCAAGTGGGAAGGACCTATGAAACTCTATTGCGACAACAAGTCTGCCATCAACATTGCACACAATCCAGTGCAACATGATCGCACAAAGCACATCAAAGTAGATAGACATGTTATTAAAGAAAAGCTGGACAGCGGCATGATTTGCACTCCTTATGTAACATCAAATAATCAATTGGCAAATGTGTTAACTAAGGGAATGCCAACTTCCAACTTTGAAGACACTACATGCAAGATGGGAATGGAAAATATCTATTCACCATCTTGAGGGGGAGTGTTGAAAATCTAGAATATCTTTTTTGTACAGCTATAAATTCTATGTATATCCCATGATTTCTGATCTATTTTAGGATAGAATAATTTACTCCTAATGTATTTTAGGATAGAATAAATTAGCTCCTAATTTTTAGGAGATTACAGATTTCATTGAATTGACAAAAATCAAATTCCATTTGTATAAATATTGTACAGAGCCTAGAACAAAATAAAACAATTCAGTTTTCTTTTTGTTCACTATCAATTACTAAACTCATAGAAATCTAAATCCGCTTCAAAATTTCTCATTTTATGTCCTTTGTTCTTTTCATGTGTGAATCTTAGTGTGGTTTTGTAACACTTTGTAGAAGCTCAATGATTGATTACTAGATTCAGGTTTCTAAAAGATAGTCTCCATAATTATATGATTTAGGAAACCCAAACTAATGGTGAAAATAATAATTACATTTTTTCAGAAGCTCCTAAAGGTAGGAACTAATATTGAAATTCACCTTTATGAGACGGTACAGAAGCTATACATTGGTACATCCCAAAATTATTCAGAAAATGATCCATCTTTGTGTCAAAGTTCATTAAGGGTATACAAGAAGGTCCAACCACAAGCTAAACATTAGTTTTACTAGAACTAATTTTTATTAAACTTCAAAACATAAGCTAAATTATTTGACAACAAAATAGCAATGAATTGAGAACATAGGATTTTGTGATTCAACAAAAAAAGAGGAAACTAAGGATTATGTGGATTTGCACAAGTACATGTAACTTGATGTTACTGTTGGATCTTTTAATTGGAACGAAGAATAAAGGATGGCTTACCTAATTAAATTTACCACTACCAGGTCAACCTTCTTGTAGTTTCAGCATTGTTTTCTCAATAACTCACAGCTTCCCCATGGATTTTCTGCATTCAAATAATTTTGTCCTCAGCGTCAGAGAGAAGTCATAGACAAGTAATTTGATTGTTAAGAAACCAACATGTAAGGCCATTCAATTAACTTCTTAATCATGTAACTCACCTTTGTGCACAGAAATATGAGACTCTAAAAGACAAACCTTGAAATAGCATTTCTCCATTCACATTTAGTTTGATTTTATGATCTAAAGTAACTGCTGGTGTACTTGCGACACAAAATGAGAAGACTAACGTGCTTTGTGCGTCAGTTGAATGAAGCTAAAGGAAAGCACCAACAGAGTGCCCTGCGTCTGATGAACAAAAGCCACATATGGCAACACGATGAACATCTCGAGCTCCACGACAAACCTAGTTGCAAAGTTACCCATTAAGGAACATAAAAACGAAAGTTGAAAACTCTCTGATCGAATATCTTTAAAACCAACAGAACAAACTTCCAGAAGCAGCAAGTCATTCTGATTCTTGTGCAATCTTTTATCAATCCCACAAGGGTGGAACAAAACCTAGAAGCGGATTCAATTAATAACTCTATGAGTGACAAATTGTCATCAAAAGATTTAAGCTCTGAGGGAAACATCTACAACCAAAATTTTACTTGTGGTATACATCTAAATGAAAGCAATTTCAAAGTTTGAGCAGCCAAAAACATCAGCAAGAATGATGATTGCTACCCATAAAAGGAAAAAGAAAAAAAAGGATAAGATCAGCAGCTCTACTCAGCCACCACTCAAACTGATTGCAACATAGCTAGAACATGTTGACACTCTGCCTAATCTAATTAACGAGAAACTGGCATGTCATACAAATGCACTTCTGGACACGCAATTGCGAGAAACTGGCATGTCATATAGATGCACCTCTGGAGGCGCAATTGATAAAAATTTCTGCTGACATGGCAACAAAATGTTGATCTCAGCATCCTGGCAGTATACTTCATGGATGGAATAGTTGGAAAATTGTATTCAGCAAGTCATGGAGCCTGATGTTTCCAAGTCACTCTCTTCACTCCCAGCAAGTTTAATAGATCCGCCAAAAAGAGCCATCTTCTCTGACAAATTACGAAGAGCATCCTGCCTATTAGCCAATTCCATAAGCACCTTAATCCTCCTAAATGAAACATTACTTGGTTTTTGCCCTTTCTCCACCATCTGCAAGAAAGACCTCTCAGCCTCATCCAACTTCCCCATGTCACAAAGCAAATCAAACAAAACGTCAGAGACCAATATATAAGAGCCAAACCCCATCTCCACCATATCATTCCATAGCTCAAGTGCCATTTCAACCTTCTCGTGCCTTCTCAACAACCTGATCAAAAACATACAAGATTGAGTGTTTGGTAGACACCCTGTTTCCCTCATTCTCAGGTACAAGTTCCATGAACTTATCAAATCATTCCACCAATAAAATGTCCTCAACAAAATATTATAAGTAGTTGCATTTGGGCTCAACCCCTTCTTTACCATCTCATTCATCAAACCATAGGCATCCCCAATCCTCTTTGCAATACAGAAATTTCTAATAGCAGCATTGTAAGCTGCCACATCACAGACTAGGGCAGCATTCTATTCTAGTGAAAATCAAGCAAATGAAATTTTTGAGATGATTCATTGTGATCTATGGGGACCTTATCGAACTCCTGCTTCATGTGGTGCATCATATTTTTTAACCATTGTTGATGATTGTTCAAGAGCTGTGTGGATTTATTTGTTAATGGTTAAATCTGAAGTGGAACGTGTACTTCGAAATTTCTTTGCTATGATCAAACGTCAGTACAACAAGGATGTGAAAATTGTTAGAAGTGATAATGGCAAGGAATTCACCTGCTTGAAAATTATTTTGCTGAAAATGGGATGATCCATCAGACTTCATGTGTGGGAACACCTCAGCAAAATGGGCGTGTTGAGAGGAAACATCGTCATATTCTGAATGTAGCTAGAGCACTGCGATTCCAAGCAAATCTTCCCATTAAATTTTGGGGAGAATGTGTGCTGACCGCTGGATATTTAATAAATCGGACTCCATCCAAACTCCTGGGGAATAAGACACCTTACGAATGTTTGTTTGGCAAACCACCCAGTTACAAGCATATTCGAATTTTTGGGTGTCTGTGCTATGCTCGAGACTTGAATCGAGACAAGGATAAATTTGGGAGTAAGAGTCGGCGTTGTTTGTTTGTGGGATATCCTTTTGGTAAGAAGGGATGGAGATTGTATGATCTTGATACCAGTGAATACTTTGTTTCGCGAGATGTGGTATTTTCAGAGAATGAGTTTCCATATGATAGTGCACCAGATGCACCTCGAGGTGTTCCGGGGCTAAATTCTTTTGAAGTCTTTGATCGCACCATAGAGGAAGTGGTTGATAAAAGAGAAGACATTCTGATAGAAGATATTCCAAGTGAAACATCAGAAATCACAAACCGGGTTCACAGTGAAGAGAATAACGAAGAAAGAGAGGGTGCTGCAACTGAAGAGATTGAGGCAGTTGATGAACAACTTGGGTGAGGTCATCGAATAAAGCGCTCATCTAGTCGTCTAAAAGATTATGTGACATATACTGCTAGACGCATAAGCCCTTCTGCATGTTTACCCACACCAATTCCATTCTCAGGTACTCCTTATCCTATAGCGCATTATTTGAATTGTGATAAATTTTCTATGCGTCATCGATCATTCTTAGCAGCAGTAACAGCTGGTAAAGAGCCAACCTTTTATGGTGAGGCGGTGAAGGATTCTCGATGGAGACAAGCTATGGCAAGTGAAATTGAGGCGCTTGAAAAGAATGGGACATGGACAGTGGAAGATCTACCACCAGGAAAGAAAGCGATCGGTAGCAAATGGGTGTACAAAATCAAGTATAATTCTGATGGAACAATTGAGCGGTATAAGGCACGATTGGTGATTCTTGGCAATAATCAGGTTGAGGGGATTGACTACAATGAGACGTTCGCTCCTGTTGCAAAAATGGTAACAGTTCGAACTTTCTTGTCTGTGGCAGCAGCGAAGGACTGGGAACTCCACCAAATGGATGTTCACAATGCATTTTTACATGGAGATTTAGCAGAGGAAGTGTATATGAAGATGCCTCCGGGTTTTACAACTCCCCAACCAGGAAAGGTATGTCGATTGCGAAAGTCTCTTTACGGTTTGCGACAAGCTCCAAGGTGTTGGTTCGCTAAACTCACTAATGCCTTGCAGCGGTATGGCTTTACTCAATCTTATTCTGATTATTCGTTGTTTACTCTGAATCAAAACAACATACAAATATGTATTTTGGTGTATGTTGATGATCTTGTGATTGGGGGAAATAATAGTGCTGCAATTCAGAAATTTAAGAAATATTTATGTCAGTGCTTTCATATGAAAGATTTGGGAGTATTGAAATATTTCTTAGGTATGGAAGTTGCCAGAAATAAGAGTGGCATTTTTCTTTGTCAACGCAAATATGCGTTGGATCTTATTACTGAAGTTGGTTTATTGGGTTCCAAACCAACTAGTTTTCCGATGGAGCAGAATCATCGCTTGGCAATGGCGGAGAGCATGCCATTAACAGACCCAGAAAAGTATAGACGTTTAGTCGGAAGATTGATCTATTTGACACTTACACGACCTGAGTTGTCTTATGGTGTGCATGTTCTTGCTCAGTTTATGCAAAGGCCAAAAGAAGAACATTGGGAAGCAGCTTTGCGCATGGTTCGTTACTTGAAAGGTAGACCTGGGCAAGGTATATTTCTCCGATCAGACTGCAATCTACAGCTGCGCGCATACTGTGATTCTGATTGGGCAAGTTGCCCATTAACTCGTCGCTCACTCACTGGATATTTTGTTTTGCTGGGAAACTCACCCATTTCCTGGAAAACTAAGAAGCAACATACTGTGTCCAGGTCATCTGCTGAAGCGGAATATCGATCTATGGCCACCACGATTTGTGAACTAAAATGGTTGAAAGGGTTGTTGGGTTCTCTAGGGGTAATGCATTCTAGATCTATGAAACTTTATTGTGACAGCCAAGCAGCCATGCATATTGCGGCAAATCCTGTGTTTCATGAACGAACAAAGCATATAGAAGTTGACTGTCATTTTGTGCGCAATGAAGTTCAAAATGGAAATGTAGAAACTACATATGTACGTAGTTCAGAGTAGTTAGCCGACATTTTCACCAAGGCGCTTGGGAAACAACAGTTCGAGTATCTTCTTTACAAGTTGGGCGTTCGAGATCTCCACGCACCAACTTGAGGGGGGTATTGGAGATTGCAGAATATTGTGTGTATATTTTGTGCATATATTTGGGCTGTAATTGCGTAAAGATAGGAGCTCTGTTTTTGGTAATTATTCTTTGGTAATTGTTTTGGTAGTCGAGATAGAGTAGGAATTGATTTCCTTTTGGTAGTTACGATAGAAGTAGGAACCATTACCTTTTTCTATTTTGGCTTTGCTTTGTATATATTTTGAGGCCTGAGGGTCATGAAAGGCATGGGAAAACTTTTCCAAAATTTCTTTTCAATTGCATTTTACACAATCTAAATTTTTCATTCGAGCTCTTTATGTGGAATGTTAACATCTACTGCAACACTTTATGAGAAGCTATAGAAGGCAAAAACAGTTCAATAGGATTAGTGACAAAACCAATTCACGAACGATCTCTGCTTATGATTTTTTTTTATCATCACTGATATGTCGCCAGTTGTTTAGAAGCTAAAGAACTCCTATGTACTTTTAAAAAATTTTCCTTCTCAAAGTAAAATCCTCATGTTCAGATAGGGATATGAAACCTCTTCCTTCTCCTAATCCCCCAAAATTTCCAGATTTTTTTAGGAATATTTACATCTTTTCTCAGAGTTTCTTTATTGATCATATTTGGGGAGTAGTTGGAGGAAACTCTGAAAACTCTAGAGGCAAATAATCTTGCTTCATTTTTAGATTGAAGAATAGGTAATTGATTGGGGGAGCGCACATTATATGAAAGTTTGTATTGTCAAATTTGATGGGAAGAATTAGATGGAATGGCGTAGTGGGAGCATTTTTAAAAGTTCAGTGGATCGGGCGATTCTTGCAGTTCAAACTTTTCTAAATTTTGGTTTTCGTTTTGGTAAAATATGTTTCTATAGTCATACTCAAAGGATTTGTGCTTAGTGGAGAAAAAATTAGCATCAAATACTTGTATAAATTGGAGCAAGTCAACAATCGAAAAGTTTATTATAGAATCTGTCAAATAGAGATCAGCCGCAGCTTAAATACGACGGGTTTAGCACGTATTAGTTGCTCTAACTTGTTATATTAGTATGATGTAGTGCCTCCAGAACTTTATTGTTCTTGATGAAGACTTTAGAGGGGTCTGTTTCCATTTTTTTTTTCTTTTGAGGGGGATGGGGGGGAGGGGGTGTCTGTTTTTTCTTTTTTTTAAACCAAAACAACAGTTGCTGTTCAAACTAATAAAGCTTTAAATTATACAAAATCTTGTAAAAGCTGCCAAAAAGTTTTTGTACAAGGGAAATTAAATATTACTTTTTCGCAATCTTTCCAAATCCTGAGGGTGGAAAAATCAGCACCCCTGCGGTCCAGGATTCCATCATACCGTTTAATTTAACAATGTTTAGGAAGATTGATTGTTGACTAGTGAAAATTTGGAGTTGCAGGTTGTGATTAAAAGACGTTTGGCCGTGGCTGTCAGCACAACTGCGAATGATTCTGGATATATAGTAATTTACCCATTTACAATCAGAAATCCAAGATTTTGAGGGACGGAGAATTTTAGTTTTGAGCACAAAATTTAATGCTAAACACCTCCTTAATTAAGTAGTCAGATATTGTTATGGCGAGATGAGCAACTTAACAAAAGTTTCGCATAATTCTTAAAAACATTAATTCAGACATCAACTTCTTCCTGTGTATTTCGCATTGTATCAGTATACATCTTCAAGCTTCATATTCTGCGTAGTCAATTGCTTTTACATTGGCGTCCTAAATATTCAATGTTCCTCTACCTCTTCTCTAAACTATGTCATAGACGTCTTAAATAATTATTGATACGAAAACCCACAAAGACCGCTGGAAATTTTAAAAGCTTTACTCGGAAAGATTAATTCATTTTTAAAACTGATCAAGTCAAGCCATGAGTTAGACTAGTTCTCTCAGTTATTGCCTACTGAGAGAGCAAGAGTAGAGCATTATATAACATTCATGATGGTTCAAGGTTTATCAAGCAAGAACGAAGAGACAAATAACATTTTATAGTTGCTTACTTTTCTTCTTTCTACGGCAACCTCAAGAAGTGATCAGTTTCACTTTCTTGGGAGATCATTTGTGCCATCATGATGATGCTCTTGCACTGCTTCAATTCAAGGAAACGTTTAGCATAAATGCATCAACTTATGCTTCTACTTATTGTGACAAGTGGGATCAGCATTCTTACCCAAAGATGACACATTGGAAACCAGACACAGATTGTTGCAATTGGGACGGTGTCACATGCCACAACATCACTGGTCGCGTTATTGGGCTCGATCTGAGTTGCAGCCACCTTCAGGGTCTCATCCTTCCAAACAGTACCCTTTTCCATCTTTCCCATCTCCGCCGCCTCAACCTTGCTTTTAATGACTTCATTGGTTCACGGATTTCACATCGATTTGGTTGGATGACAAGTCTGGCCCACCTCAATCTCTCAAGTTCATCTTTCGATGGTAAAGTTGCTTCGGAAATATCATACCTATCTAATCTAATTTCATTTGATCTCCCTTCCCTTTTTCCATGTGATTCTATGGGTTGTTGGGTTCTAAGATATGAACCTAACAGTTTTGAAGCAATGCTTCAGAACTTAACCCAATTAAAAGAGCTGTCGCTTTCGTGGATGAGCATCCCATTCGAGTTAAGAACGAATTTTTCTTCACCTTTGACATATCTAAGTCTCAAGGGTACTGGAATAAGAGGTAATCTATTAAGTAATGTTTTCCATCTGCCAAATATGCAAGTTCTCTTGTTAGGTGACAATGAGAATCTTACTGTTAGTTTACCGAAATTGAACTGCAGCATTTTTTATTCTCTGAGGCAGTTAGACCTATCGAGCACAAGTTTCTCTGCTGCATTGCCAGATTTAAAGGGGTGTGCAGTGTCCTTAAATTCTTTGAATCTAGATCCTGTCAAATTTCTGGTGTCATTCCTGAATCAATTGGCAACCTTACACAACTTACTGAATTGCATCTGGGTGACAATTTGTTGGCTGGGGAAATTCCAAACTCACTTCGCAACCTTAGGCATCTTGAGAGTTTAGACCTCTCTAGTAATCTACTGATGGGGGAAATCAAAGATTTTAAAAGTAGGTCACTATCAATGATTTTGTTGAATAACAATCAACTAAGCGGTTCAATTCCTCCATCAATTTTTACACTTCCGAACCTATCTTTCCTTGACCTTTCAGCAAACCATTTTATTGGGGTTGAGCAAGACTTGCTTGTGGACTTCAATAAGCTTCAAAACAATGCTTTTAACGGTGAAGCAGCATGGAACACGTACTACCAACAATATGAACATTCCCTATCCAAATTTGGGATTCTTGGCTTGTCTTCTTGCCAAATTAAGGAATTTCCAGAGTTTCTGAGAAATTCGGAGAGCTTATCTTATCTAGATCTCTCATCCAATATGATTCATGGCGAAATCCCAGGCTGGTTCTTGTCCAAGACATGGGATATTCTAGTCTACTTGAACCTTTCACATAACTTCTTAATTGGCATTGTAGACCAACTACTCGTAACTCCCTCTATCGCGTATCTAGACATGAGTTCCAACTCACTTCGGGGTCAAATACCTTCTTCTATCTGTGAATCAAGTCTTCTTCTATTCTTGATTTGTCAAATAACAATTTGTCTTGTCCAATTCCTCAATGCTTGGGAAACTCCAGCCAGTATCTAGAAATTATGGATTTGGGAAATAATAGGCTTTTTGGCACCATTCCCACAACATTTTCAAAAGGAAACTCTTTGCGGTTCCTTGTGTTGAATGACAATCAATTGCAAGGGCCATTGCCACGATCTTTAGCTCATTGTGAAGGTCTGGAACTCCTTGATATAGGGAACAATGAGATAGATGATAAATTTCCAATTTGGTTGGAAACTCTTTCTAATCTGGAGGTCCTAATATTGAGATCTAATCGATTTCACGGAGCAATTGGCAATTGCCAAACTAAAAGTCCATTTCCTCAGCTGAGAATTATTGATGCATCCCACAACGAGCTCACTGGTGCTCTACCTGAAGAAATTCTCAGCAACTTCAAAGCTATGAAAAGTTCAAAGCATGACCAAAAGGAATTCCAGTATATGAAGGTCAAATGTCAGTAATGATTATTACATCCATTCTGTGAGTTTGGTTATCAAAGGGTGGAGTATAGTCTTGAAAGAGTCCTAATAACTCGAACAGCAATTGACTTCTCAAGCTACAGATTCGAAGGACAAATTCCAGAGATTATCGGATCCCTTCATTCTCCTCAAACACTCACTCTCTCTCATAACAACTTCAGTGGCCCAATTCCCAAGGCATTAGGGAATTTGCGCATGCTTGAATCTCTGGACCTCTCTTGGAACCGACTTGAAGGAACCATTCCTATGGAGCTAGTGAATTTGGATTTTCTTGAATTCTTAAACCTTTCGGAAAATCGTCTAGTTGGACCCATTGCACGAGGAAGGCACTTTGATACATTTGGAGATGATTCATACAGACGGAATTTGGACTTGTGTGGATTTCCGCTGGCTAAAGATTGTGGAGATACAGAGGCACCACCACCAGCCATGCCATGGGTAGCTGAAGAACAATATGATGATTCTGAATTCTTTGATGGGTTCACTTGGAAAGCTGTTCTCCTGGGATATGGCTGTGGATTGGTGCTCGGATTAGTTATGGGAGGTCTCATATTCTCAACTGGAAAACCAAGATGGTTTGTACTGATTGTCGAAGAGTCGTTCAAACTGCGAAGGCGACCGAGGAAATGGATCCACATAGGCACTTAAGATGGGCAGTGCAATAATTTACAGTAACTGGTAAGCAAAGCATTCTTTTTTCTACCCCTATTATCCTTCTTCTTTATTTTTTCCTCAATCAAATAGCTTTTTGAATGACAAGTTTTTGGTATGGCTAATTCGAAAAATATGACTTATAATGCCCAGGTCTACCCATGGAGTGGAAATAAGGAAAAGTTTTGGTTCATTTCCAGTCGTACGTGCTGTGTATTTTAGGCTGTAATAGTTACTTGTTTCTAATGCCCAGGTTTTCAAGTCTCAGAGCGTCAAGTGATTGTGGTTCCTTGCGATTTTATCTGTAGCTTTATATTGAAAGTTGTCCAATGTACGTTACGAGAATGATCCATCAAAAGACTACAAACTCATCGTGTCTTCAAATGCCTCCCTTCAAGAGTGACGGTTGACATTCAATTTTGGCAAGGATCAGGCCATCAAGAAAACGAAAATCATGTTGAATTTTGAAAAGCAAAAACAATCAACAATGAGAAAATACGGTTGCAACTCTGAAATACAAAAAGAATAAGAATAAAATGCCAGTAAAGAGCTTTTTTTTTTTATAAATTTCATGTTAAATTTTAAGCTTTAAAATTTCATTGATTTGAAATTTTAAGATCATAATTCAAAAGGACAATTCTGGTAAGTACTTTGTGATGGGATTGTCCTTTTGAAAAATTTATCCCCAATCTCACGGTTCAACCTGAATGTCACTACTTTTCATCGAAAATTAATCACTAAACTTACCGTTTTAGTACGATCTGCAATATGTAGATAATAAATTCAATCTTGAACTGGGCACCCGTTAATATACCTATTTCATGCCTCGCTTGTCATTTACAAGTGCTAAATTTCTATGGCTCGTAAACGCGCAAGTGGTTTTGTCTATTCCCTTGCCATGGGCTCAAATGAGTGTGTACTAAGCTTTTGATATTCCTATGATAAATATCAAAAAGATGATTTGAAAATGGGCCTTAAATCAACCCCTATACAATTTGGTGATTCAACAAAGAAGTGGATTCCTAGTTCTGTGATTCAACAGATATACTGTTTGGAATACCAAAACATATATATATATATAATTAGATTCCAACAATAATATCTTCTGTGGGGCGAAAGAGAGTCTATGTCATAATTTTGGGAGTAGACCAAGAATTCAAGATTAAAGATAGAAGACTTGGAATGAAGAGAATGAAATAACTTCCCAATTAATGAAGCTCCAAATCCACCCAGCGTCTTGATCTCCAACTGGATTCTTGAATCTCCTGAGAGAAGTGCTAGAACTAATGTTTGCAAGCGTTTTTTCCCCTCCAAGTCCGGTCTCAATTCCGGACTTCCACTTTGAGCTCAAGTTTTTCCACAAATTTTGGTCCGTTTCCTATCAAATTAAGCCTTCCACCAACCAAAGCCGACACAAGACAAAACCAGGCAATTTTCATTTACACTTAAAGCTCAAATACAGCAATTAAAGCACAATACACTCGTATAAAAAAAAAATTCTAACCTATCAACCGTATAACAAAACGCATCTTTCTAAAAATTTCTTAATATATAGTCTTCTAAAATACTTTCGAAAAGCTTTATTGCTAAAGTAGTTAGTAAGATTTCAAATCTCTCCTAAATTGCAAAAACTAACATACTTATGAGCAATATATCGAACACTCATAACTCTTTAAGATTAACTACTTTCTCCCTATCTCTTTCTTTATTTTTTTCCCCCATACTGTAGGCCTGTACCCAAATAGACATTGCTTCAATGTAGAAATTTAATGTGGCAATTTTATATAGAATGACTTTTTTTTTTTGAGAGCTAGTGGATAATAAGTTAGTACCAGTGTCGTCAAATCTCAAATGGTGGATAAATTCTCAATTTCATTGAACCAATAAATCCTACAAATGGGAGGAGGGAGGAGGGGGATGGGTTGGATGGTTGATGGAGAAGAGAGTGTAAGTGAGATATTTCGAGTTTGATCCCTCCCACGTCCACTTAAAAAAAAAAAAAAAAACTCCTAAAAACAATCATTACAAAATTAAGGTCTCATTTCGTAGTAGTTTGAGATCAACATTATAATTAAGGCATGATCTAACATATTGAATGCCCAGAAACTGTTTTGATGTTATATGCTTAATAGCAAGAAATAGACCACCAATAGAGGTGGTCATAGTGTCATGGTCTTGTTTACTCGGTTCTAGCTTCTGAGTCAATACTAAGCCCACAGTCGATAGCGATTGAAAGGGAATTCTTAAATTAGGACTGCAAATTATGTTTTGCATACTTGTTCAATATCACTGTTTGAAAAATCCCGTATCATAGCGTGCGTGCGTGCCTTCACATTTGATTGTCAGTTAAAAAGTGATCAATTAATGTATGTATGCCCAAAAACCTAGAAATATCTTCACCAATACATTTATTTAAAGAAAATAAAAAAAAAGGAAGAAATCAAAGGCTTCATCAACGCAATTCATATTATTGTCGTTGTCATGTTTAATGGACGTTGGAAAAAGCTCATCAGCTAATTGAAATCACTACCTGACTATTATTATCCTATAAAACTGGCGACCCAAATTATTCCTAAGATGAGCCCAAATCTAAATATCCTAAATGTAAGAATATGAATATCAATATTCGGGGGTTGGGATAAAACCCTTACTGGTTATCGAGAACTCAGATTAATTTTACAATGAGTAGCAACGCTGGAAAGTAATTTCAGACCCCAGTAGACTCGTAGAAGAGGAAAGAAGTGAGATTCATTAAAAAAAAAAAAAAAGAAATGTTTCTGATGATGGGAAGAACTTCTTTTTATTCATGTGAAGTAAATACAAGGATTGAAGGTAATCAAGTGAAACGGTACACATACTTGTTCATTTGAAGACAAAGTCATAGTGTCTAAATCTGAAGGTCATTTAGCAACACTTTGAAGACCAGATCAAATGAAGACTTGTTCTTGATGACCACAATAAATGTTTATTCAATTTTTTCAATTTCTATTTCAATCTCTCCCCTTCGATCGCCTATAAATATACCTCTTCTGGCTTTTTCTTTATCTTGAGAAAAACATCGGAAAAGCAAACCAATTAAGACTATCCACAACGGCAGGATCAGCAAGGTTTGGGGCCAATGCTTGCGCTAGTTTTTGTTTTGGTAATATCATGGGTGCTTTCTCCATTTGCAGCTGCACTCAGCACAAATTACTATGATCATACATGCCCAGAGGTTGAGTCAATCATCACCAGAGTAGTTAAGAAAGCTATGATGAATGACAAGACCGTTCCAGCGGCACTGCTTCGGATGCACTTCCATGACTGCTTTATTAGAGTAATCTCTAATTAACCCTATTACTTTCATTTCATTTATCTTCTGCGGATTCCCTCATGTCTACAGTTATAATAGCTACAATTTTACCCATTCATATTTTTCTATTCAAGGGATGCGATGGTTCTGTGCTGCTAAACTCAACAGCTAAGAACAAAGCTGAAAAAGACGGGCGTCGAAATATTTCATTGCACGCATTCTATGTCATTGACCATGCAAAAAAGAATTAGAATCCCAGTGCCCTGGTGTTGTCTCCTGTGCTGACATATTGGCATTGGTTGCTAGAGATGCAGTTGCACTAGTGAGTGTCACCGACTAATCCCTATGATAGTTGGAACAGAATTATACTATAGTTTACTTACAGCTACTTTCTGATCAATCCTACCGGTTGAGGGTTAAAGTCTTGACAAGTTGATAGGCTCCGATGTTTGGTTGTAACTTCTTCACATTTGCATATTCTGTGTGTCGGTGTGGTGCTCTGACTACACTCACATTTGCTAAATGTTCCAGTCAGGAGGTCCCAGTTGGAATGTGCCTAAAGGTAGAAAAGATGGCAGGATTTCAAAGGCCACTGAAACTGTACGACTGCCTGATCCTACCTTTAACATATCTCAATTGCAGCAAAGTTTCTCTAAGAGAGGCCTATCACTGGAAGATTTAGTGGCCCTTTCAGGTTAATCCCAAATTAATTTTTGCTCTTAGTAATCTTCATTAGTTAATGTTCTCCTTCAGCATTGGCAACTTCCCTTGCAGGAACACACAAAACACACACACAGTCACACATGACAAGCCTACCAATTCTCAAGTCCTGATCCAACCGTTGATGCATGCATGCTTGCCCGCAATTTTCAGATCACGACTCTACTAAAAAACATAATTTGATTGCTAATATGCAGGAGGCCACACCCTAGGTTTCGCTCACTGCTCATCCTTCCAGAACAGAATCCACAACTTTAACTCCACTCATGATGTAGATCCCTCCTTGCAGCCATCATTTGCAGCCAGCTTGAGGAAAGTTTGCCCCATGCACAACAAGGTGAGGAGTGCAGGTTCTGGCTTGGATTCTTCGGCAATCACGTTTGACAACATATACTACAGCGAATCATTCTAGGCAAGAGTATTTTCTCTTCAGATGAAGCTTTATCGACCGCTACAACTACAAAAGCATTGGTTTCAAAGTTCGCTAATTCCCAGGAAGAGTTTTATACAGCCTTTGTCAAGTCTATGATCAAGATGAGTAGCATAAGTGGTAGTGGAAAAGAGATCAGGTTGAATTGTAGAGTTGTTAATTAGGTAACTTCTTCGACGCGAATTCATCATGTCAGCTACGGCTATCTCTTTGACTCGCCGTTTTAGTTTGTTTTCTGAGTTCTTAAAATTAACTAGATAAGAGAACATACTTTACACCTTGTCTGGTAGAATTGCTTAAGGTTAAGTGTGTAATTTAATAGTATATTTATTTGCAAGATTGTTATGGATGCACAAATCTTCAGGAGATTCAAAAAAGAGACACTTGAACTATGAATTTCATTTTAATGACAAAAAAGGCAAAATAAATAAACAATTATTGTGTAGTTAGCTAGTTTGGCTTATCTTTTCCTAGCTAATAAAAGTAATAAAAAAAACAATAAAAAAAACTGCTAGAGTTATAGAATTCCTCACTATTCTTGCAAATAAAATTATC